TGAATAAATTATGTTTAATGATGTTCACCTCAATTTAACTTTCAAATACCACAAGTATGAAATTCCAGGCAGTTATCGTTACATGATTATAAAGTTTTCTCATTAATTATGCAAATTAAGTCATTATTAACATAATCAATATCTTCCTGTGTTTCTCTCATTGTCAATTACCAATGTCACAAGCTTCAATTGTCCTATCATGGAATGCAGCTGATTTATAGAATTTCCCCATAAATTATGCAAATTACATCCATATTTGCATAATTGTCACACAATTATATTAAGCATCACATAAGCTACCTACATACCAAAAATCACAACGATCCGTCAACCGGTTCTTGAGTTATCCCCTTTTGAATATTTTCAAGAATTTATCCCTGCAGTTCCAGAGCAAGCCGCTAGGGGGCCTAAACTCACGTCACTTCTTTCCCAGCACAAGAGCTACCTACCATCTAAATTTCATCACCATAGCATGCCTCGATCATGAGATATCAAAACCGGAAGTTCAGCTGCAGTACCATAATAAGCCGCTAGGGGGTCCAGAATCTAATCATTTTGAGGTCTCATCAAGACCTACCCACCTACCAAGTATCAAGACAATCCATCAAGGCCTTCTCAAGTTATCGTGTTTACAGACAGACACACACACGCACAAACACACACATACACGAACGCCCCTGAAAACATAACCTTCTTGGCGAAGGTAATAAATCTAAAATGTCTATTAAGCTTGAGTGGACTTAGAAAGTCAATGATTTTGAGACATACCTAGGTGTCCTTTCTGACCGTGCCTTTTCCAGCCTCGTCCAAAAATGCAGAGAAACAGCCGGTAAACTACCCGGCGAGCCCCTATTTTCAGTTGTTATTGTATGGGCCTGTTAATTGTCTGAGACTTTATGCTTGAATATTGATATTGTATACTCTTTCTTATGGCCCTGTTTGCACCTACCAGACTAAGAAATCAGCACAGGAGTAAAAAATGGAACACTTCTCTTAAAAAGGGTTCTATTTCTGAAAGATCATTAAAATAGCCATTATAGGACTTTGTTTCTTAGTTACGCGAATTCTTCTGAATAATGCAATGGTACAAAAGTGTAGACAGACAGGCTATGTTGCCGTGTTCATTTAGTAAAGCCTTGTGCTGACAAGATGGTCGTGACAACAAGCTTTGGAAATATTTTAACCAGACTGTGGCTTAGCAAAGTGTCATCATGATGGTTTATCTGTCATGATGAATGAGAACTCGTAATTTCTAGATCTGTTGCGAATAGTCTGGAACGAATGGCAGCAAAATAGCGCCACGTCACCAAATAAAACAATCATGGCGCAACACCCATATCACCCTCGTTAGAACTAACCTTACCCCAAGTAGGTATTAAGATGTAAATTGTTAAACATTTTCTAATGTCCAGACTTCTCTGGCAGCTATCTACCGAGTCGGACAGTACATATATAAATAAATGGCAAGTATTCTACCGTCACATTTACATGTAGAATTACAATTTGATTACCAGCTTAACCTATGGGCGTAGGCCAGTGACAAACCACCTACAAGAAATTTTACCCTTTTTTTATTGTTTGTCCACTCGCTGATACATACCTTGCAAGTTGGTCAGAATAGCTGCAGTTGACACTTTTTTGACAGGAACTCGGGCACAGGTTGCTGTTGTTCTTGTAAGGTGTGTCAGCCTCCTTCGGTAGCTGATCCGCAAAGCCGTATGACAAACCACCCAGGATTGGTGTTATGTAAATAGCGGAGTTGATTGTCTGATGCTGGCTTTTTGAATAATATTGTTGACATGATGAAAATTCAAATCATGATGCAGCTGATTGGAAAATTGCAATAGTGGATATTGTTTTACCTTGTTGACAAGCACATTCTGTGTAGAATGAGTATCAGAGGAAAGATTACTTCAGTTGTAAGATTTAGAATGTTATCCTTGTATCAAATGCCTTTGCTACAGGTATAAGAGGGCGTGCAAGGATGTACATCAATTTTCGGAAGACATAATTCAGCAACGCAAACGAGCTTTGGACGGTCTGTCCACCACTGAGACAGCTCGGCGGCAGAAATATCTGGATTTTCTGGACATATTACTGATGGCAAAGGTACTGTTTATTACGTTTGAAACGTCTCTGAGTACGTACAAATGCAGGACACATATGTGACTACTGCAATGTTGAGTTTATAATATTCAGTATGTAATCAATTTGTTCTGTACAAATGTTTTGAAATTTTCTTCAGAACGAACTGACTAAACATTAAAACTTAAAGTCATTTAATAATTTAATAATCATAATAATTTGCTTTTTAGCTCTTGAAGAAATTCTTCTTACCCTGGTTAAATCAATGAAATACTTTAAGAAACCTTTAAGATAAAGCACTAAAATACCACATTATTGTCAAAAAGGGCCTACTTTAGTACGATATTAGCCAACGAGGGTGACATACATTGTTGGCACATTATCGCATGAAACAATTTTTGAAGTAAATAATCAACTGACTTTCAAATATGAGCGCCATGACCGTTGCATCACGTTTAGGCCACAGCAAGTAAATTTTATGGATGACATCCTCCGTAGACTCCAAATCTAATCCGAAAAAAGGTTCCTACATTTAAAAATTTTGACACAATCATTGTACACATGGTTTTGATTCAGTGGGAGCATCACATATACACAGCCACCATCACATATCACGACATCAAAGTAAGAAACAAAACATTAAATCAAAGCCTTTTCTTGTCTCCTCTCTTCATAGTTATCTGCCATCCCCCCCCCCCCCTTCCAGCATGGCAACAAATATCTTTGCCCATTTTCGGCATGTTGACCACTGTCAAAGGACAACAAAATTTCTTGTTTATTTTTCCAAAACCACGCGAAAATTAATGCGCGCATTGATGTCATCCATAAAAATTACTTGCTGTGACCTTAGGATGAAGATGGGGACGGTCTGACCGATGCTGAGATCAGGGACGAGGTGGACACCTTCATGTTCGAAGGACACGACACCACAGCCAGCGGGCTGTCCTGGACCCTGTACTGCCTGGCTCGGCATCCGGGACATCAGGAGAAGTGCAGGAGGGAGGCACAGGAAGTACTGCAGGGCAGAACGGAAGTGACGTGGTAAGAAATTTTTCCCGTCGTCCCATAATTCATGCTCATGCGGCTATGTCTAAGAAGAAATAACATGCTCAGCCTGGTATCAATTACGCTTGAGATGTAATAAAACCTTAAGCCCCACCACCATACATGTATATATTTACTTTTCTTAGCTTTTCTGATTTCCTATTCATAAATGTAATGTAACGCTTTTAGATATGATTGCTAATCTTTCGTTATTCAGTCTTTTTGTTATGATTTTCTTTATTGGTAATCGTAACGCACGCACTGAAACTAACCAAAGACTAGAAAGGTAACGTTTGCAAGGCATATGGTCTGCTCTCTTACTCAAACACATTGAATTTCATATGATCAGACAGGAGTAGTCTAAATCCCGCCTGCTATAAAATTGCAACATGATGTATTACCCAACACCAGTTACCATGACACAGCACTGGTTCAGGTCGCTGAGGTCACTGCTTGGAGACGAAGAAGAGGAAGAAGAAACTGAGCAAAAACAAAATGTTTTCATTCGTAAATATCATTAGAGATTTGTCTCACACATCTAACGCGTAAATCGATGTTCAGCAGCCATTCATTCTGTACCACAGGGAAGATCTCCCGTCCATGAAGTACATCACGATGTGCATCAAGGAAAGCCTTCGTCTCTACCCACCTGTTCCCAAAATACTCCGGGAATTAGAGGCATCCCTTACCTTACCCAATGGGAAAACCGTGCAGAAAGGTATATTCGTTTCAATGACTGCCTGTCGCCTTCAGCATGGATATGATGACAACCTGCTGAAGTTTTCCACGTATTTTTTTTTAATTTCTTTGTAATCACAATTAATATATTTGAAAAAAAAACGGATGTCGGATTTATGCAATGCCCTCGATGCTATCTTAGGGACGGCAGTTTTCATTGGTCTACAGCGGCTACACCTTAATCCTGGCATTTGGGAAAGACCGGAGGTTAGTTTTTCCTTGTATATTCATTTAAAGTTCCCTTGAATGAATGAATGAATGAATGAATGAATGAATGAATGAATGAATGAATGAATGAATGAATGAATGAATGAATGAATGAATGAATGAATGAATGAATGAATGAATGAATGAATGAATGAATGAATGACCTTTATTGTGCTCTAACAAGCTAAGTACAGGTCATGAATAGACAAGGAAAAGGATACAGCAATGATACTTAAACTGTACATACTAATGTGATCTACCATTTACATTGTTCGACTTCTTCTCGCTTCTTGACGCAGTTATAGATGTTCGAGCATATAGAACTAGTGATACATGGTTTGTCAAGTTTCATAAGAAATATATTTTTTTCTGATTCATTTAAATGTCCAAAGCTGGGGAACTTATCTATTATATAAGAATATAGGAAATCTCTCTCATTTCTATATAACGTGCAATCGACTACGAAATGATACTCATCCTCAATCTTATCTAAATCGCAAAATTGGCAAATCCTTTGCTCTAGAGGAATGCGGTTGTGTCTGCCTTTTTCTATGTGGAGTTTGTGTGAACTAATCCGGAGTTTTGTGATGGCTGTTCTGTGTCGAATGCTTGTAATTTGAATGACTGACTGACTAAATGAATGGATGAATGGTTGAATGAAGGAGAACTGATTATTAAAACAGGTCAATCTATGTGCTGTGCAGGGTTTAGAATGAAGCATTCGCATATATTACTTTTATGATACTTCTTTTGCATGCAATCCATAAATGTAATTTGTAACATTGTTTCATGTAGATATTGATAAAAGTTCCATGTAAAGGTCCACTGTTGACTGGAGAAAATGTAAGATAAATGTGTTTGTTTAATATAACCGCCTTTTTATGGTTTTCAGATAGTCCTTTATTACATTTTGAAATATTGTAAATTTGTTTTATTCAGAATCTTTATGTTTTGTCAGGAATACGACCCTCATCGTTTTTCGCCGGAAAAATCGAAGGATCGACATCCATATGCATTTCTGCCTTTTTCGGCAGGACCAAGGTAGGATTTAAATTTGTACTTTTTAAACTTTGAGTACAATTGATTTTCTCGATAACGACAAGTGTCGTTGCGTTAAATTTAAAAACCCTTCATGTTCAAGATCAAAAATCAAGCAAAATTCCAATAAAGCTGTACAGTACTGTAAAAATACCTTAAACAAGAAAGTTTTACAGCAACGAAATTATACAGCAACGAAAGTATATTTATTTATTTATTTATTTATTTATTTATTTATTTATTTATTTATTTATTTATTTATTTATTTATTTATTTATTTATTTATTTATTTATTTATTTATTTATTTATTTATTTATTTATTTATTTATTTATTTATTTATTCCTGCTGACAGGACAGACATTTACACGTACATTACAAGAATACAATACATCAACGTGGAGAGGTCAGGGTCACACACCTAAGGCTTATAGGGGTCACCTAGAGAGTTCCATAGCTTCCTTAGATTATATTCTATCAAATGCATTGCTTGCGTCACTATAAGAACTGCTCCTTTTTTCCATCATACAGGAACTGTATCGGGCAGCACTTCGCCATGAACGAGTTGAAGACGTCTGTAGCGCTCATCCTGCAGCGGTTCAGCCTGACTCCTGACGACACTCTGCCCGAGCCGCTCTCCGTACACAAAATTGTCCTACGGGCTGACAGTCCGGGTCTGTTCCTCAAAATCAACCCCATAAGCTAGATTATTGGCTAGGATGTAATGAAATAAAAATTAAACTCCATCTCAAATTGAATTTCACTCGCCAGAATTTTCGACCAAATATCTCGGTTTTCATGAAAAAGCAATCAGCAGCGGCAAGGAAGCAAGATTATGCCTTCGTGGAGAGGGCAGACCAATGTTTTTTGTGTTTTTACATTTCATTCATACGCTTTGGTGGAGTCGGGTTGGCCATGGGATCTGTTTTAAGTAATGTTGATAAAACCTATCATGTAAACTCATAATTTTTAATGCATCTATAATGATTGGTTGGAAAATAAAGGACGGAAATAAATCTTATCTTAGGCCACACCGACTTAATTTTATGGATGACATTCTAGACCCCTAAAGTAGTGCACGCGGGCGAATAAAAAAAATTCCGGTCAAAAATAAAAATGCTGCTAAACCACAGGAATACAAAGCTGGTACTGTGAATTCATAGTATATAGCGACGTATACGACAAACCGGCTTTTTGCGGAATTTATGAATCGGCACCTTACGTATGTACTGAGTTCTTGAGTCGTGGAGCTTCGGTAGCCTGGGTGCCCGGCTCCGTTTTGTCACTAACTAGCATGGACTACCCAGGCCTAGAGCCTCGGAGGACGTGACCTTTGGAGTTGCGACTGGTCTATTTTTAGGTTGAACCGTAGATACGCATCTATTACAAATTTAAATCAATTTTGTGAATTCAGGCATGATATGCATAGGTAATTTGGCGTGTGAATTTGTGTCAAAAAAAAGTGTGCATGCGTGTCGGAGATGTATTATAAAGTATAACCATTGCCTGAAAGAACAATACTTTATCAATGTACCCCATATGCACATGAACAACGGCACAATACATCTATGAAAAGTTCCAAATAAGCAGCCTAATTGATTTCTGATATTTATATCCTTTCCCACGCTCACAGATTTCTGCCCTGTATTTCATGATCAGGTAGAAAACGTGCATGAATTTATTACTGAGATATGTACAATCAATGCTATATATTTGCTGCAAAATTAAGTATTTTTTTATGAATCAGTATACCTCATTATAACAATAGGAAACCGGGAAAGACCCTGAGTATTCATGAGTCAGGTGTTATTTGGTCACATGTACGTGCGTGATTCAACCTCGGCAACCTTCGGCACGCAATACCTGTGTACGTAGGGTACATATTACATCATATCCAGTGAACCATGACTGTGCTTCCGCCATTATCCTTTAAGTTTTCACAGAGGACATAACTTCTACATTTGTCCTGTAATTCAGGCAGATTGAAACAAACTCCCCTTTTGGCACAGGGCATTATATCGTAGTGCTAGTGTATTATCAGTGCATTATCATTGGTATGACGTGCTGTCATGTGACCGATCAAGTTTCCTTCTGAGAAGTAGAGCTTTCACAATCGACTCACAAGGTGTAACAAGTAGCAGAAGCTTTTCAGCATCGATGCAACTCTCCTGATTCTGCATTCTGTCATCATAACGTGCAAATAGGGTGAGTGTTAACTTTTTATTATGCTTATAGTTAGTATAAATATAGGTTGTAACAGAAGTAAATGCCCTTGTGTTTGAATCGACTACGTGTTAACTTCAGGTAATTAAGTAAGCTCCGTTTGCGTTTGAATGGACTACGTTTTATTTCAGGTAAGTAAACGTTCCATGCAGTATGTACGGTTAGTGGTCGCGTAATCTGAGAATCGTAATTAAGTCAAGTGTATATTATTGTCCGTAAAATGGACCCTGTTACTTTAGACCGGGCTTGTTTTCCGGGTTGATTATAATTAGGAACTTCGTTCGTACGTGACTGAAACTGAGTCTCACACCAGAGTTTAACAGGGGGAAACGTGGCGGCAAACTATGTCCTTACAGAATGAGCAATTCTGAATCTGGTGTGTGTGTGTGTGTGTGTGTGTGTGTACGTGTGTGTGTGTGTGTGTGTGTGTACATGTGTTTGTATGTATATATGTGCGTGCGTGTATGTGTGTGTCTGTTTATGTGCGCGCTTGCGTGTACATGTGTTTGTATGTATGTATGTATGTGTGCGTGTGTGTGTGTGTGTACATGTACATATGTGTGTGTGCTGCTTGTACGTGTGTGTGTGTTCATGTGCGTGTTTGCGTGTGTATGTGTGTACATGTGCGTGTGTACATGTGTCAGTGTGTGTTTGTGTGTGTGTGTGTGTGTGTGCGCGCGCGCGCGCGCGCGGCTTATCACAAAAACCCAAGAAGCTGGTGGATACTATACATATTTGATACCATAGTGCTAAATGGCAGGGATATTGTGATATTTCATATCATTGAACGTTGTATATATTGTTCATGTTTGCCATATCATGGTTCATTGCTTTTTCTCTAAGTTTAATTGGGTAAGTTGGCTGTTTCAAAACAAATTAATTCGTGGAGCTATTTGGTCACGGGGCCCGAACCCCATTTCTTCACATAGAAAATGGGGTTTGGTCTGACATAATAAGGTGTTGTTTGTACTTTGGAAGCTATGATTGACGTTGTATTGTATTGTATGCTGGTGCCATGCATATTTGCTAACATTGTGATAAAGGTTGAGATTGACAAACAGTTGTATCACGGATAAACAATGATACATATCTCAGAGGTGATAGGGTCTCCATATTAACAACTATACCTTTACTGTATGATTAAATTTAAGACAAAATCCAAATGTCAGGATTATGAACAATAAAGCTATCTTTTATTGTCAACCAAGACTCAAATTATCTGCGGATAATATTTTCTTTGCAGGTGAGGCCGTTTTGAGCAGGTAAGAGGTGACAGAGATAAACATTCGCAAGGAAGGAGCTGGAACTGCGGTCAAAGGTGTGTGGATTGTTTATGGTCCTTTCTACTTTCTTCTAGCCATGAACTTTACGACAAAATTGTCAAATGTTTATGACGGAATCCCTCCGTACCGACGTATTTTGACAGGAACAAAAGTGGGGAGGGGGCAAATGATAAGAAAAGCGATGGAATCCATAAAGTTCACTATACGTATAACATAACTCTGGTCCCAGCTCAATTGTCAATTGCTTTCCTTCGTCCCTCATTCGAAAGAGCAGAATGATAGTGTTTAGTTATGCCCCAAAGTTTTTGCTGTGTCCAAAGTTTGTGCCGTGTAACTACTGATTTTATCATATTTAAGAAAAGGCAGAATGATTTGAGTATTGGTAGACATTGATAGATAGCTTTATGATTCATAGTTTTGCCGTCACATTTGTGTTCCGATATCGCCCCTCGTATATATATTTATATATATATATGAGTTTAATAAACATTAATTATAGTTACGTACAAACACCCCTGTTCGAAAATCATAAATGTAACCAGGGTAAATTGCTGCATTGAAACTTTTGTGTATGGAAAATACTGCACCATAAGGCCAAACGAGTTTTTCTGCTTCAAATTATGTTGCTATTTTCGGGTTGTTTCTTCCAGTGTCTTAACCACGTTAATTCTTTATCTTCTATTCAATGATGACATACAGACATGGCCGTGCGAAGTTCTTTTGCCGACATCATCAAAGTTTACGATATCAAGAGAGAGAGACTACTGCAGCTTTACCAGGAGTCACAGAGATTCATTCATGACAACTTCGCCCACCATTCAGCCTTCCAATCGTTACTTTGCGATGACAAAGAACCACTGATGACAGAATTGCAGCGACGAAAAGACATCCTACAATCTCAAATCTATCAAGTCGTCTTTTTAGGTACAATTATATTTGGTATTTTTTTAAGGACATTATACGTAAAATGTTGTTACTCCGTGAAGGAGGTCAGGACCTCCGGACGGAGTGTTGTGAAGAGTCGTTTTTTCGTGTTCGCAGTCAAAACACTGGGTTCTCTTTGTGTAATCGGCATGCAATTTTATACGCCGTCTGCGGGCATGCCCGTGTTGATGCACGAATGTGTATTTTTGCCGTTGCTGCTTTCGCGGTCAATGTAATATTGCAGATGCACCCCTATAGTTATGAGGCAAATTGGAATGGTCCAGAAAAACCCGTTGTTTGGAATAGCAGTGGGGGGTGGAACTTCAGGCAGATGGTGAGGGGCCGATAAGTGGTACCACGGCAGTAACACTCGCGGTGCTGGCCGCAACTGTTGCTGGAATTTGCCAGTCGCGCTTAATAAGTAACAGGCACGGTAAGACGGTGGGGCTGTCTTTGTTACTAGTGACACGACCATGATAGTCCAATCTTTATGTGAATGCAATGATTGTGTGTGTGTAATTAAAATGAACTTCGAACTTGAAGCACAGTATCTTTACACGCCCTGAGAGCAGTAATGGATTTAGGTCTTTTTATGTTTTATGGTTGTGACGCGCCCTCATTGTATTAACCGTTGCCTTATGTCTGCACAGTAGGTCTGGCGTTGACGCTTGGGATTATTTTTGTTGCAAAATATAAAACTTCACGGAGGATTGTCACCTATGGCTTCTTGTTTTTTTTAAATTTTTTAAGGACATCATACGTTTTTTTCTAACATTCTGTGCTTAGTGGTTTGTCCGATCAAGGACATTATAGAGAAGTATAGTGTCCTTGGTCCAATTGATAAGTAAAGTGCATGCATGCAGTTATAAGGGCATATGGGTAACTCTTAACCCTGTGTGCTTGTGTGTGTGTGTGTGTGCTTGTCTCCCTCTGTGTATGTATGCATTGTAACGTTGTATATGTAGATGTGTGCGAATGCTTGAGATATCTATTCGTGCTATTTATTTACTTGTTATATCTTAAAGATAACGCTATATTTGTTGATGGCAGGCACCCACAACTCTGGAAAGAGTACCACGATCAACATGCTGCTGGGTACAGAACTTCTACCCAAAGCCCTGCGCCACTGTACTGACGTGAACTGTGAAGTAAGGTATGGTGAGCAGAAGAAGGCTCTGATCTACAACATGTCGGAGTTGGTCAATGAAGTTTCGCTAGGTAAGTCTGAACTTTTCAAAGGTAGAATCTAAGATACGTCAATTTCATATGGTCCATTTTATATGGTATTCATTGGGTTTTCTCTTTGTGTACAGCTTTTTTTTTTGAGGGTGGGGTACAAAAATCGCATGCTTTTAATGTTCCCGTGTTACCTCAAAAGGACTGATATACCTTCTAGAAGTTGATCCAATTTCAACTAGAGAAGTATATAGAAGTAACATTTGCAAAGCAAATTCATAATGTTTTCCTTCTTACTCATTCACATACATGTACTACTAGTATATGGTGACAGGAGCAGAGCAGACCATGAACTTGCAACATTATGTAACCCAACACCAGTCACCATGGTGACAGACGCCAACAAATCATGTCATTAGTCAGATCATAGGTTACTGTTTGGAGAAGACGAAGAAGAGGAAGAAAGTGAGCAAAAACAATATGTTTTCCTTCTGTAAACATAACGATGTTTTCCTTCGGTAAACATAACGAGTCCTTTCCTACTCACAGATGTTCAAAATCCAAACAAAGTTCTTGCTGGGTACGTGCGACATGACAAGAATAAAGATGTTGGCAACCTGTATGACAAAGTCGAAATATACTGGCCGGCAGATCTTCTTCAGGTAAATGTTGATAAATGATAATTATAATAAAGTTCATGAGTAAAATTAATGATAATAAATGAACATGATTTTGAAGTAAATTGATATTAAGTCCAATGTCCATCAGTTTCGCCATTCTTTTTTTTTTTGGTAAAAAATGGGATACTACCACTACTATCCCATTAAATCAGCAGAATCATAACAATGTGATAATAAGGGTGTACTATCTTTTTTACCAATAATTTAGTTTACCAATACTTTATACTTTATAATTCGTAAGATAATTTTGTTGTACATGAGGTAAAGAAAATAGGCTAAACAAATAGAATAAAATTATCCTCATAATTCTACATATAAACATTCGTCCTCATATGTGACTCAAAACTCATGTGACTTAAACGAAATCATTAAGTTACTATTCTTACCTATCTATCATTTTAAGAGTGGCCTTGTCCTGGTAGATACTCCAGGCGTTGACATCGTTGCCGGTCATGACTCGGGTCTTTGGGATACGTACGGCACTCGCGCTGTGACAGCTGTGTTCGTGTTAGATGGTGGATACTTTGGAAATGAGGTATTCATAAGTCAATGAAATTTTTGTGGATGTCATAATTTTTGGAAGGTGTAAACAAATGTGCAATAAGCTGTAAACTTAATAATTAGAAGATACTCTATCATTAGGCAGCTTTGGATGTTGACATGCACTAGCTTTCTTCACGTATCACCAGTGGATGAAGTGGACTATGGAAAAATGTTGCCATGCACGTAGTGGTATTGGTCATTGCATGCGTGTAATATCCCTCTGAACAATTTGCATCCGTTGTTTAATTTAAAATATCAAAATGGTAGTCTGAAAACTTACTAGTCTAGAGCTTCAACAAATTAGAATGTAGTTGGCGGGATCTTGTAACAATGTGTGTCTATCTGACAATACCGAGGGCTTTCATTTTAATGAAATAGACTCAACCTCTTGTGACTAATCATTCATTTACAAATGTACAACCGAAAAATTTCTCTTAGACCCAGATCCAAAACCTGATACGGTCGTTCTCTAACATGCCGGATGAAGCTGCCATCTTCACCATCAACAAGTGGGACATCGTAGTGGAGGACTCCGACTCTTCCAGCGAGAGCGAACAGGTCTCCGCAGACGAGTACACCAGACGGTGTGACAGTCTTAAGGAGGCGTGGCCACGGCTTGATGTGGAAAATCAAGTCCTCTGCACCAGGGCCAAAGAAGCTCTGCAGCACCGCAAAAGTGGGCGTCCTAGCGACGACTGCACCAAACTGCTTGCTCACTTAGAGACGTCGTTTGGGTCAAGTCTGACAACAAGAGTAAAGGAGCACACCCAGTAAGTAAAAGCATCATCTTTTTCTCTTTCTAGATTAAAGTAATTTCATGGATGGTATAAGCGATACATACTTGAAACCACAAATACTAGATTGTTGATGCATATTGAATTGACTGCATTTGCAAATTAATTGTTTGATATGTTGCTTGCTGCGTTTTTGTCAGTTCTTAATAAGTATTTTTTTGTTTCGCATAGATGGCTGGTCCAGTTTCTTCAAAAGGCGGCCGAAATCTTCGAGAAGTGCTTAAACATACCAGATAGCAGGGGCCAAAAGACTGGCCAAAGTGAAGTTGCTCAGCGATACAAAGACGGCCTGCGAAGATGCGAGCTCAAGCAAGAAATCACCAAACACCTAAAGGGCAAGGTAAACCTTGGCATCAAAGATCTGTCTTTAAAGCTTCGAGACTTCCTGGTAGCAGAGAAAGGTGCTCTAGTCGAGAACTGGAAGCCCAACGATGACCAGCTGCCCGACATCGGAGGATTTGACGACCTTGAGGATCTCATCAGACGTCTTGTTGTCAGGAAAATGTGCGACATCGTTCGTGAGTGGGACAAGAAGACAGATTTGCTGAAGACCTTCGAACTCAACATCGTCTCTGAGTTCAAAGACCAGTTCTGCCTGATGAAGAATGAACTGGAACGCATTCTGCAGATGCGAGATGTCAGTGACTCACAAACTTCAAGTAAGCTGCGGACCATCGACAATCTTTTCGTCCTTCCTGCCCTAATGTTCCAGTCTCTCCCAACGGTCATGGCAGCCATTTTGAATGCGTTGTTATTTCCGGTTGCAATCGGGAAGGATGTGCTCGGAAGGAGACGTGAGAAAAAGGAGTACACGGGAACCGCAGGCACGGCAACAAGTGTTCTCGACCAGCGTAGAGAGTACGTGCGGAGGAAGCTCAACGGCATCCTTACGGAGATATTAAACAAGGAGCACTACTACAACATCATCAGGGAATGCTTTCAGCCGGCAGTGGATCTCAATGAGTTGGTCAAGCTCATCCCCCAGATCAAAACGTTCCTGCAGGATCAGATAACGCAAATTGAAGAAAACCAGTTCCCTATGCTGAAGGACCAGCTCATCCACAGGCTAGCCGATGTACGTCTGTTTGAAGCCACAGAAGTTCGTCAATACTCCCTCCACGTCCCAACAAGCATTTCTTGGGAAGACAGGTACGTGTGGTTAAAACCTATATTTCAGTGACTTACATGTGATTTACTTATTATAAAAGTACATGCAGGTCTTTTGAACTTTGTGTTTCAATTTCTATATTCTTGCTTATTCAGTGACGACATTGGAGAAGGGTCGTTTAGCAAAGTCTACAAAGCTACAATGTCGAGGGGAGACATGCAGAGTGGAGCTGTAGCGGTGAAAGTGCCTAAGTTAGCTTTGGAGGTCAACATCATGGATTATCTCAACGAAGAAGATATTCTTACGTGAGTATATTATTATTATTATT